ACAGAGGGACCCAGGAGGGACCCAGGAGGGTCACAGGAGGGACCCAGGAGGGACCCAGGAGGGACACAGGAGGGTTAGTGCCTGGACAGGATGGAAGCACAGTCACGGACAGACAAACCAACCAACACTGGCCTGTGCCCACCGGGTGCTCAATGTACACATAGGTCTCTCTGTGTTTGTGTGTGTGAGTGCATGGGGGGATGGGAGGGAAGAGCAGCCTGTGTTTATGAGCTTGTGTGTATGTGTCTATGTGACACTCTGTGTGTGTCTGACAGCCTAAGGAACAGACCTCTTGTCTGTGTACATGTGAGTCTGTGTGTGCAAGCATCTGTGTGACAAGGCAGAGCAGCCTGAGCCAAGTGCCCAGGAGACAAGAAGTTCACCCAGAGACACCGCTGAGTGGGTGACCCGTGGAGGAAGGATTAGGGACCCAAGTCTTAGCTCTGAGCCAGATGGTCTCCAGAATCAACACTAACTATGGTCTTGTTGTTAAGTGTTGTCGAGTCAGCTCCAACTCACAGCAATCCTGTATAGGGTTTCTGAGGACCGGCTGGTGGTTCTGAATCACCACCTTTATGGTCAGCAGTCCGGTGCTGACCCTATGGCGCCACACCAGAAGTCCTCACACTATGTGGTTGCTGCTGTACTAAGTGCCGTTGACTGGGTTCCGACTCATAGCAAACTTGTACTAAGTTTCCAAAGAGCCACTGGTGGGTTCGAACTGCTGACGATCCTACAGCACCACACTAGGAGGCCCTCATTAACACAGGAATAGAGAAAACGTGAAAACACAGAAAATGGAGATGGACTTTGTAGCTCCTGCTAATCTGCTGAGGCAGGGCCACTGGCCACATGTCTACACTGGAAGTTCTTCACAAGGTCGTCCGTCCACTGCATGACATGCTCAGGACCCTGACCTAGAAGGCCCTTCCCACACGTGTCTGCAGCAGGGACGGAGTCTGCCCCACCTGGATCCACTGCTCACGGTTGATCTCTACGCCGTTGGCCCGCAACGAAGTGATGGCGCGGTCGATGATCTTCTCCACCATCTGTGTGTTCCCGTTGGCCTCCTCGAGCTTGGCAGCTGTGATCCAGATGTGCCGGTCTGTAGGAATGTTCTCTCGGGCTTTGTTTAGGACCTTACGGGCATTTTCATAGGTCTCAAGCCTCGCCAGTGCAAGCCAGAGCTGCAGAGAGGCCACAGGAAAGCGAGACAACAGAATGGTGAACACCACTGCTCAGAGCAAGCCACTGGGCAAAGTGCACACCTGCGTGGCTCTCTGGAAGCTGCCTGGGGTACACCAAACCTGTCACAGTAGCACCTCAGGGGACACCGGCCTCTGATTTCATGAGTGACTGCTTGGTTTGGCCAAACACTGGCGAAATGTACAGAAAATCTCACAGCAACACAGCACGCAAACTGGACAGGACTAACTGCTGCCCTGGCCTAAAAGGACCAAGTCCTGACACCCTAGCACTGCTGACTCGGGAACATTCCAACACCAAAACATGTGTGTAGACTCTACTTTTAAGTAAATAAACTTAGATTAATTTTTCTTAGAGAATTTCACAATGCCCCGTCATCTAATTAAAGACATACTGGTTGCCCCAAAAGTAAGGCTAAAGGTCAATGCACTCATTGTGACCCTACTGGACGGCCTAGAACTGGCCCAGTGGGTTTCCCAGCCTGTCATTTTTATGGAAGTAGAACAGCTGGTGGGTCTGAACCTCCATTCTTTCAGTTAGCAGCCACTGCAAAGTTGAGTTAGAGTGTCACCTCTGTGCCACCAGGCCTTCTCCAGAAAGCTTCCAAACAGCTCAGGCAGAGGCTGGGGTGGCTAGAAGACACACCAGAGCTTGCCACCCCTGTATCCCTCTCCCCGGTCCACACACCTAGGGTGGATCACAGACTCCCATAGTGCTGCGGGGCAAGTGAGACTTGATCCTACACTTTCATGAGAGCCCAGACCATGACAGGTGACCACTGCCTACAATTGGATTCAGAGTGGCCTCCGCGGTTACACGGGCCCCAACCCTGTCCCCCTGAGCTGCAGCACCCGCAGTGGTGCCAGGTCTAACCTCCACACTGGTGGGGCAGCACTCCACGGCACGGCTGAGCATGATCCTGGCATCTTCTGGCTCCTCCAGCTCCACAGCGGCCTTCCACAAGCGAACCGAGTTTGGAACGTGCTCAAGGGCTGAGAAAAACGACACAGGAACCAACTCAGGACAAGGGGAGCAACACCTGCCCGCGGAGGAGCTGCTGCTGCATGAAAGGGGACTGTGCCCTGGGAAGGCCGTAGGACCTCGGGGGACAGATGACAAACACAGTGGAACCTGAAGCAAGATACCAATAAAAGGTGCTGGGGGCCACAAAGGTAAGCCTCAGAAAAGGTGCCACCCAGTAGGGGCCCAGCCAGTCCCAACAGGGCTCTACTGGGAACAGGCAAAGTCAGTTTAGGGAGCGAGCCAGCACAGCCGTGGGGGTGATAGGGGGGTCAGGATGGCCACAGGAAGCACAGGGGCCTTTCAGGGGTCTGTGTCTGTCTGTCTGTCTGTCCAAATTGCCCACCGCACACTCAGGCGCTGTGTAAACTGTACTGCAAGAAAACCCATTTAGTGTCAAAACACCTCATTCTCAGAGGGTCTTTCTCAAAACTAAAACAAACACCACCAACAACAAAACAGAACCCTTAAAACTCAGGAGGGCCAAGGATGGAGTGATCTGTTCACCACTGAGGACCACAGTCACACTGTATCCAAACTGTGGCCACAGGAGGTCCCAAAGCCACAGTGATGCTTAAGGAAACCCAACACCCATCAATCACCTCTGCTCAGTGAAGGTGACCATGCAGAACTCACTTCCCCTCAGAGTAACCAGAGGAGACAAACACTTTCTCTCAAGAGGAATTCTGTCAACAAAAGCCAAGTGAACCACAGAACTGTGATACCACCATTTAGCTAGCCCATCACAGGGCGGACCCAGCAGCAGGGACTGCTACAAGCACAAGACACCCCACATGTCAGCAGACACCCATTCTAATCAAGACGTTGGACAGCCTGGCACCTGTACCTCCTGACATGGCAGAGAACACGTGCCCACCCACGCGAATCTAACTGAGACCCCAGATCAACCTGTCTACTGATCAAACTCACAGAACCAGACAAAACCATGACAGCGACGGTGAGCCAACAGCAGAAGGTGGGAAATGGACAGGCTAAGGACCTGAGGCGCAGAGAATTACCTAATGTCTCTTCTGTCAGTCTTTGTAACTCTCAGCAAACTTGTTTTCAGATGGGTCTACGTAATAAGGTTGGAGAAGATACTGACAGGATGGTGTGATTCAGCTGTGGATGTTAGCAGCTTAGTGTGATTGTGAAAATGTGAAACTCTAGCATGGGTATACAGTAAGCCATCTCAGAAGCAAGAACAGAGGAGCTCACTTCTATGAAATTACAGGCAGGAGTGGAGTATGTCCTTTGCACACTGAGATCCCTGCACAGGGAACGTCCGTGACCCAGGGGCAGAGCGCTGTGATTCTGGAGGAGGGGAGAGGCAGCTGAGTCCCTTCAGGCTGAGCCTTCGGGGCCCTGGGGTTATCTGCCAACAGCACTAACAGAGCTTTGTAACACTGGCCGGATACAGCTGTCCTGACTGCAATCACTGTGCCCTGAGCAAGACTTCCCCAAGGAACCCATCCTGTGATTACTGTGTCTCAGTGAACTCGCAAACCCAGCTGCATATAGAAGGCTGTGGGACGAAGGCTTAGCTGGTGTCTTTTTTTTTTTTTTTTTTGGTGGCAAGACCCGAGTCCTGAAACTCAGGAAGGGGGAACAAACAGAGAAGACCCCAAGACAAGACACATCCACCAAACACTAACACTGGGCTGGGTTTAAACATTGATTCAAGGACTCATGAGTCCTGAGGATTCAGAGCACTGACTGACAAATAAAGGTCTGCTCATCTCCTCCATCTTAGCTCCTGGCAGCTAAGATGCCAGCCATGGGCCAAGAAACCAGAAACAAGTGGAGGGCAAGAGCTGGCCCAAGGGGATGGCCACAGAGCACACATTCTTTTCTCCAGCTGTTCCATGTGTGCAGATGTGTGCTCCGTGGGCATGTTCTACATGCATGGATGTGTTTTTTACATCTATGTGTGCTCCAGGTGTGTGCATGCACGTTCTGCGTCTCTCTAGACACCAGTCACATTCTTCCTGCTGTATAGGTCAGGAGGAAATGCACTGGTGAATGACGTGATCAGTAAGGTCAGGAGCCTCAGGAGGGGCAGAATCTGTGGGAACTGCCTTCGTCCAGAGACAGTTCAAGGGCTGCTGAGACGGTCTCCACTTTGTGGGAGAGGGTGGGAACATCCCCATATGTGACTCATTAGCAGCCTGGAGGATAGGAGCTGACCACCAACCACCACTTACCCCCCCCCCCCAGGTACTTTCCAAAGTGTTTCTCAGGGGTCAGGCATCACAGCGTCTGCACAACCTCAGAGAAGGACTATTTCATGGCCCCCACAGAGTAAGCACTTTAGAGTGGCGCTCAGTCCATGCGGCAGCCCAGAGCTGTGAGCAGACGTGGCTACGCTCTCCTGGGACCCCTTGACTCCAGGGTCAGACTGCACATGCGGCAGGGGGAATGAGTCAGAATCAAACCGATCACAGCAAGCCAGCGTTAGCCCTGGGCCACTTAATGACCAGACCGCCCCCACCTGACAGCCACTGGGCACTGGGCCCTCAGTAGGCTACATATGTGCCAAGAATGCCGCTCCCATGACCCTGGGAAGCCCCTCAGCGTGGCTCAGATAAGAAGGTTCCGAGGTCACAGACAGCCCTCTGGCCCACACTCCCAACAGGCACTACGGTCCACCTCTTGATGCAGGATGGCAGGTTTGGCGGCAGCGGCAGCAGCTCTGCCTACCTGCCAGGTGCACAGAAGCTGGTATAGCATCCTAAGTCACCAACGGGAGTGACCACCAACTAAACGCTGAAACACAAGAGCCTGCATAATTCACTAACACAGAGGTCGGGGGCAACCCAGACCAAGGCTAAGAACAGCACAGATGTCTGAGCGCCCCTCATGGTCTTTTGCACCTAAGTCCAGAGTCATGTCTATGGGAGAGCCCAGACAGTCACATGCCGAGCAAGCAGGACACCATGCTGCTGCCCCTCCAGTGACCTCCACACCACTAGAAATCTAACGCCAGCTGGACATGCTTCCACAAAGTTTGTGGTGAGCAGGGGCGTGGCTTTAAAGACACCAGTCACCATCCATCACTGCAATAGGAGTCGTCTCCCCAATAAACAAGGCTGATTACTCAGAGTCAGCGTGCTTGTCATTAAAAGGCAAGCTTCCTAGTGGACAGAGATGAAACGGGAACATCTACCAACCAGTCCAGAGCCAACTTTGTACTCACGACCTCAGCAGACACAGCTGAGTGCTCATAGGCGGTCAGCTGCGACCAGAAAGCAGATCAGACACAAGTGTGCACACACAAATTCACAGGTGCCAGAGGCCGAGAGAGAACTGGCAAACCTAACAAGTCAGATTTCATCCAACCTCTGCAAAAGGTAGACAGTAACCAACCAGTAATCACACTCAATCAGGGTTCCCCCGACCCGTGAGCCTACGGTCACCTCTGCCTACTACCTCACAAAAACACACATCTGGGAGCACAAGAACTGGACACCTACTGCTGAAAATGGTCCATGAGCATACAAAATACACAAAAAGCTTCCACGGGCCGCAAGTCCAGGCAGACTAAGTTACCTGCATGGGCCTCTGCCAGCACCCACTCTTCTGTCCTGAGACTGAGAAATCCTGAGCTTTCTATCAGTTCCCTAACTATCAACAAGAAGAAACAACAGCCACAGGAGCTCCACCCTGCTGGAATTAGCTTTCCCGACCCACAAAGCACCATTCACCACTCACAACCAAGGCGGAAGGCAAACCTGGCGTGAATGGAGCACCAGACCAAAGGACGGCCTTCAGAGGGCACCACTTCCTGCTACCTGTTAGGGCAGCCTCCTTACCCCATCACTCAGACATGGCTCGAGAGTCGCTCCCCCCACTGGCTGCATGGGGGCCTACCTTGGGTCACAACATGGACACACACTCACATGGCCTTGTAGCCCAAGGTGCAGCCTCTGAGCAGAGCAGCCACAGGTCTCGCTCAAGGCCACACGGCTGCAGACAGGCAGGATGACGCTGAGCCTCTGACCCACAGCTGGGAGCCCACCACAGGAAACAGGGCCAGCTGGGTCTTGTCGTTTTGACTGCTCTCTCCAAAAGCAAGAGCACCAAGAACAGGCCCAGGAGTTCCTCAGGCTCAGGGACCAAAACCCTGAGGCACCGCCTAGGCGCTCACCTTTCCGAAGAACCCGCTTCTTGGCGCGAATGTCTGTCTCAAGCTCTGCTGCTCTGATGTAAATCCGAACAGACTGTGGGAGGTGACGGACAGCCTGGGCAACCACAGCCTTGGCTGTGTCCCCAGGCTGCAACCTGGCTGCTTCTAGCCAGACGTCTTCACTCTAGGGCCAAAAAAGGGGTCAGGGTTCCAGGGGGCATGAGCACACCCAGAAGTGTGCCCTAGAGCCCCTAAGGGACATCAGTCATGCTACAATTCCAACACAGGATCAGTGCTGTAGTACCTGTGTGTCCCAATGGGTGAGCACATGTCACTCCATGGACAGACAGGAACCCAAAGGGAGGGCAACTGCATCCATGTGTGCCTTCTGCTCCCAGGAACAGTCCAGTGTCAATACCAGGGCACACGTGCTTCACGGCCCAGAGCTCAGTAGGCACAGCACTAGTTCACACTCACTCACAGCATCAACAGCCACAGGACACAAGCATCCAGTGTGTGGGAACCCAGGGATTACAGTACATCCAGCTCTCTTACAGGGTGGATTCAGTATTTCACAGTATCCCCGTTCACTTGTTAGGGATTGCTGAGTCCGTTCCAACTCCCAGCATGCCTGCAGAGACTTTCCAAGAAGTGGCTGGTAAACTTGAACCACAGCACTTGGAGTTGAAACCGAGCAGGCAGTGCAGCACAGCGCATTACCCCGCACCACCACACTGGGCCTTCCCTAAGAGTTAGCGTTATTAACCCTTTAGGTGTCTTACATTAAGAAAGGCAGAAAAGATGACTAGTTTCCATTTTTGCCGTTCAGAACAGCTTTACTTTCTAAGTAGTTAACAACAGACACGGCTTTCCTTGCCAGCATTTCCATTTGTCGGGGCGCTCCAACCCTGGCAGCCAACGAGGACTGGGAATGGTTCCACCCACAGTGCTCCTGCCCCCCAGGCCAGCAGCCGCACCACACCCTCACCTTGGGGCACATCTCTGTTCCCTTCATGATGAGGTTCCGAGCCACCTGCAGCTTCCCCGTGACCTCCTCCAGGCGGGCTGAGGCAATCCAGGCTGGGGGGTGATGAGGGTTCGTCTCCCGCACTGATTTGAGCAGCAGCCGTGCCTTCTTTATGTCACTGAGGGGAGGAGGGAAACGGTCAAGACGTCACCATGGCAGGGAGGAGCCCCGACCCACTGTGCGAATAGGCCCAAGCGGCAGAAACTGAGTCCGTTGCAACCCCCAGCTGCTTGGCAGCCAGGCAGACCTTCCCTCGTGTGCGCCCACAGAGGAGCTGCAGGTACTGGGCAGCATGGGGGCACAGGCACAGTACATGGGCAGAGGTGTCTTCAAGCACCAGCATCCACAGGAGAGTCTAGCTACATGGATTTCAAAAGATCCAAGCCATTCTGGGCCCCCCCCAAGCACTCACTTGATGTCCCCTCCATGTGTGGGGATCATGGAGTTCAAGTCCGTCAGGTAGCCTTTGGGATCGACCACAGTCTGCCCACTCACCGAGTCAGACACCTGGTGGGATAGGTCATACTGAGTCAGCCAGACACTACCAGGGACACCTGGAAAAAGCTTATGGTAGTGCCCTGGATACCCCTCTGACAGTCTTAGTCTCCAATGGGGATAAAAACTTTAAAAGGAGGACAATGTGTGAGGATGGTAAGCCAAGATCTACATTCAAAGACAAGCTGTGCACAAGGAACAAAACGTAGCTCATCAAACATAACAAACGCACCGCATAAACACAGGGCGTTACTAGCAGTAAAGTGTATTCACAGTGGATGATTACACAATGGTGCAGAATAATGCTGAGTCCGTGAAACCCCTCACAGCATGGAGGAGCCTGGAGGACCACAATGTGGAGTGAAATCAGCCAATCACTAAAGGACAACCACCGCATGAGACCGCCATTGTAAAATCAGGAGGCTTCACTGACAAAAAGATAAGGCATTCTATGACGGTTATCACCCCACCATTTCTCCGTGAGTTTGTCGTACTGTGGTGGCTTGCATGTTGCTGGGATGCTGGAAGCTAAGCCACAGGTTCTATTTTAAATACTAGGAAGGAGAGGTGGACAACTTCTGAATATTTAACCACTGAAAACCTTATGAACAGCAGTGGAACACTGTCAGATAGCATCAGAATCCTGGTTGTTGAAACATGATGAAGAGCACCAGAATTTTGTCAGATATAGTGCCGGAAGATGAGACCCTCACATTGACTGTGATGACGCGAATGAAGTAAAGCCTTCGGGACCTTCATGTGCCGATGTGGCACATCTTAAAATGATGACAAACAGCAGGAAACATCCATTAATAATCAGAACATAGAATGTACGATATATGAATCTAGGAAAATTGGAAGTTATCAAAAATGAAATGGAACACATAAAGATCGACATCCTTCTTGGCATTAGTGAACTGAACTGAATGGTTATTGGGCACTTTGCATCTGACAATCACATGGTTTACTATGCTGGGAAGGACAACTTGAAGAGGAATGGCGTTGCATTCATCATAAAAAGAACATTTCAAGATCGATCTTATCATGAAGTGTAATGTTGTCTGTGATTAATATCTACAAGGAAGACCAATTAATATCACTATCCTTCAATTTCCACACCAACCACTAAAGCCAGTGATGATGAAATTGAAGAATTCTACCAACTTCTTCAGTCTGAATACAAAGGTTGGAAACAAAAAGGAAGGATCAATAGCTGGAAAATACAGCCTTTGTGACAGAAACATTGCTGGAGATTGCATGACAGAATTTCGCAAGACCAATAACTTGTTCATTGCAAATGAACATGTTCATTTTAAACAACATAAAAGACAAGCATACACATGGACCTCACCAGATGGCACACAGAGAAATCAAATTGACTACATCTGTGGGAAAAGAGGGAGGAAAAGCTTAATATCATCAGTCAAAACCAGGCCAGGGGCAGACTGTGAAACAGACCACCAACTGCTCATATGCAAGTTCAGGTTGAAGCTGAAGAAAATTAAAACAAGTCCATGAGAGTCAAAATTTGACTTTGAACATATCTCATCTGAATTTTATAGGTCATCTTCGGAATTTTAGAGGCCATCTCAAGACAGATTTGATGCACTAGACACTACTGACTGAAGACCTGAAGAGTTGTGGGATGATAACAACATCCTACAGGAAAAAAGCAAACGATCATTAAGACAACAAAGAAGGAAAAGACCAAAATGAATGTCAGAAGAGACTCTGAAACTTGCTTTCCAGTATAGAGATGCTAAAGCAAATGGAATAAGGAGGTAAAAGAATTGAACAGGAAATTTCAAAGGGCAGCTGAAAAAAACTAAGTCAAGTATTATACTGAAATGTCAAAGATTTGGAGTTAGAAAATCAAAAGGGAAGAACACATTCAGCATTTCTCAAGCTGAATGAACTGAAAGAAAGTCAAGTCTCAACTTGTTATACTGAAGGATTCTATGGGCGGAATCCTGGTGTGGCGCTGTGGGTTAATACGCCAGACTGCAAAGCCATTTAAACTGCAAGGTTGGCAGTTCAAACTCACCAGCTGCTCCTCGGAAACCCTATACAGGATCGCGATGGGTAAGAATCGACTCGATGGCACTTCACAACAACAACAATGGGCAAAACATTGAATGGTTTACAATTGTAAATGGTGTAAACCCGGCTTGTTATTGTTTCTTCATACTTATTTAATCTGTATACTGAGCAAATAATCTGAGAGCCTGCATTATATGAAGAACATAGCATTAGGATTGGAAGGAAGATTCATTAGTAACATACAATATGCTGATGAAACCACCTTGCTTACTGAAAGTGAAGAGGACTTAAAATACTGATGAAGATCAAAGACCACAGCCTTCAGTATAGGTTGCCCCTCAACGTAAAGAAGACAAAAATCCTCACACTGGACCGATAAACAACATCCATATAAATGGAGAAAAGAGTGAAGTTGTTAAAGACTTCATTGTGCTTGCATCCACCATCAATACTCAGGGAAGCAGCTGTCTAGAAATCTAACGACGAATTGCATTTGGTAAATCTGCTGCACAAGACCTCTTTAAAGCATTGAAGAGCAAAGATGTCAGTTTGAGGACTAAGGTGCACCTGACCAAAAGCATGGTATTTTCAATGGCTTCACATGCGTGTGAAATTCGACAACTAATAATGTAGAAGGATTGATACACCTGAGTTATGAGGCTGGAATAGAATGTTAAAAGTACCATGGACTGCTGGAAGACCAAACAAATCTGTGTTGGAAGCAGCACAGCCGGAATTCTAGACTCCGAATCTCATACTTGGGACTTATGATCAGGAGGGCCAATCCCTGGAGAAGGACATCATGCTTGGTAATGTGGAAGGTAGGCAAAAAAGAGGAAGGCCCCCAACAAGACGGATTAGCACAGTGGCAGCATTAATGGGCTCAAATGTGACAACGATTGTGAGTTTGGCACAGAACTGGGCAGAGTTTCATTTTGTTGTGCATAAGGTCACTATGAGTCGGAACTGGCTCAACAGCATCTAACAACAACAACTTGATGATTCCCAGAGGGGAGGGAAAGTTAATAACTGGTTAGAGGGTAGACACATGTTAACCTGGATGATGGGAAGGCAATATACAAGAGGAAGGTTGGCAGAAGATGAAGGTAGAAGACAAAGGAAGGAGTATAAGAAGTAAAATGAAAAGTAAATATTGTTAACTGATGGTACACAGAGGGAATTGCAATCTTGTAATCAAACAAAGTCTATGATTTGTTGAACGTAAAAATGATGATGTGCTCTGTAAACCTTCATTGGTGTCACAATAAAATGTTACTAAAAAAAATATTTTTAAAGTACACGAGCCAAAAATAAAAAAGTACATGTGTCTAAGCGATAGTGTAGAAATATAATTCATAACAAACATGCTCACTGGTTTTTACTGCTTAGGCATATAGTCACTGATTAGAGAGTCTAGTGGTTTTCAATCTTTTTCACCTGGAACTTGCATTGTTGTCAAAATCTGTGAAGACGGTTTCAACACAGAGTGACCCTGTTTCCAAGAAGCAACAGGTGGGTATGAACTGCTGACCTTGCGGTTAGCAGTCCAGTGCTTACTCTACGGCACCACACCAAGACCCCGGGACTTGTACTAGTGGATCTCAAATGTGAGTGTTTGTTCAGTTGCCTGGAGATGGTTGTTAAAGAAGTTCTGGTGGGACAGTGGTTAGAGGCTTGGCTGTGTATTATAAAGTCAGCAGTCTAAGCCCATCAACCACTCCATGGGAGACAGATAAGGCAGTCTGTTTCCATAAAGATTTACAGCCTTGACAACCTTTCGGGGCACTTCTCCTCTGTCCTACAGGATCACTATGAGTCAGAATCAACTCAGTGGCAATGAGCTTGGAGTCGTTTCACCTGGCTGGTCCCCACATGGAGCATCTGACTCAGAAGTCAGGGTGGGCCTGAGAACTTTCCTTTCTAATAGACCTTGTGCACAGCTGAAGACACAGGAGTTTCTGATGTTCTCATTGCGTTCACGCTGAATTTATGGATTAATCTAAGAAGAAATAATCACAACTCTAAAATACTCTTATTAAGCAAATATTTTTTATCTTTCCATTTATTCAATTTTCTTTTATGCCTGTTAAGTGTTTCCGGATTGTCTCTAAGTACACACTAGTTACTTTGTTGTTCTGCTACTTTATTTGTTGTGGTTTGATGTTAAGTGCCAACAAGTGGGTTCCAACTCATTGCAATCCGGTAGACGGTTCCAGGGCTATAAATCTTGACAGGAGCAGAAAGCCTCACCTTTCTATTGCGAGTCAGTCTGTGCGCTAAAACCACACACCTTGTGGTTAGCAGTTCAGTGCTTATCCTACAGAGCCGCACAACTCTCGTCTGCTACTTCATTTATGGTATCTTATGACATTATACCCTGTCTGGTTACTGTTCGCATATGGGAACCATATTGATTTGTACCGTTATTCATCTTATAATTCACCAGTGACTGAGTCATTTCATTCCAATTTTTATCTAATTCTCTTATATTTTCTAAGTAAACAAATAAAAATAGAAGACTGTTTCTTCCCTCATAAGTCACAAGAAAACTACTATCTCAAATAACAAACAGCAACATTTATCAGGGAAGTACAGACAGAATTTCACTCTGAAGAGGAGCAACCAAAAGATAGCTGTCGAGCGTTCTGGAATGATTCTTGCTCGGAGGTGGACTGGTGGAGAATTTTCACCTCCGACTTTTCCCATTCCTGTTGAGTTTGCCTTTTTTATTATTTTTTTTTAAGTGACTATATTAGATTTCAAATAAAAAGTGTTTGTTAACATACTGCAGTTGTGGCCCCAGGACTCACCTGGCTCAGCCGCATGTCCATCAGCGTGTTCCTCGCTTGGCCGATCTTCCGCATGTCCAGCTCACCTGTGCCGGGAGTCATCAATCCCGGCGTCATCCCACCTGGGTATGGGGTGTTCAAGCCACCTGGGTAGGGCGTGTTAAGACCACCAAATTGCTGGGGAAACAGGTGTCAAACGATGAGTGCACTCCCTGCGGACAAGAGACTGCATCATGACAGACTTGGTACAGCTCAGTTGCTGAGCTCGGATACCAGGTCCAACCCCACTATGTCAGCACCCTCGGCCACCCCATGAGAGGAGCCCCACTTCCCTCCTTCCAGATGCTCACAGTTTGTCGGGGATCCACTGACGTGTGGTTCTCTCCAGTCTGTAAATGCTTGGCGAAGAAGCTGTCAGGAACGGGGGTCAGTTTCTCGTAGCGCGGATTCCGCTGGCGCTTATTCCTGGCATCACCCACCTCAGGGATGCTCAGCCACTCTTCTTCTGTGACCTCGGCCAGCTTCCGCTGAGGACATTGCCCCAAGAACATTACCTCTCTGCTGGGATGTCACATACGCAGATAGGACTAGACTCTCCTTCCCCAGCCCCTGAATAGCAAGGCTTAAAAAGGATTTTGCTGTAGAAACAGTGTTATACTTAATTCAGGAAACCAATGGCCCAGGTCGGTTATACCTCTCTGAATTGTAAACTAATCTGTCAGAACTGAGAGGACCTGGCTCAGGAGACGCTAAATGCAGCTGCAGCTATAGCAACAGAGAAGACAGGGTCGTGGTCCCCCATTTCCAGTGTGGGTTAGTCAGCTACATGCTAAAGAACCTGGCTCTCTGCAGGTCATCTGCCTCAGAGACACTCTTCCACCTGCTCACCTTCAGGTCCGAGAACTGTTGCTGGATTTTAGGGCGTTCCATACGGTATTTCTCAATTTCCTCTTTTTCCCTTTGCTCCCTGGGAAGTAAAGCACAGACACGCATGAAGAGCAGGGAGCAGGCCCATCTTCAGTGGGCCCTGAGGACCAACACGGGGGAGAGCCCTTCAGACACTTCCTTCCGGTGGAGCAGGCTTGCTCACACCACATGCACACCTACCCTGAGGACTCAAATGCCTGCTTGGCATCTTCAGTTAAGTTCCAAACTAGTTACTAAAGGCTACACAACACCACTATGTCCAATCAAAGATGGTGACATATAATCAAAGTAACCTGCCTAAAATTCTGCCAACTTCTGTTAAGCCAGGCTCAGAACTCCGAAGCTTTCCACCTTGGTCCCCAGGCCCTGAAGCAGCTCTACCACAGCCTGGCATTCATCCAAACCTGCAGAAGCACTCACAGCTGAGCACCTGCCACCTTTCTCTAGGTTTGCAAGTAAGTGTGGTAAAAAGCTGGACAAGCACAGTGTAAGGGGCAGGGTCGTTACCTTCTTTCTTTTCTTCTTTCATCCATCCTCTTATCCAGAGCCGCATAAATGGCGTCTGCCTCCTCATCGTCTTTCTCATAGGGCCCGCTTGAGAAAAGGCTCCCAGCATAACCATTAAACTGAGAAGCAGACAACGCACTCACTCACTGGGTCAGCGTGTCCTGCGGGACAAACCCACCTGCAGACACAGGCCCTTTACTTGTCAAACACTTGCCAATCTTTCATCAGTATAAAATAACTAATCCTTGAACCTGAACACGGTCATGATCACCAGACTGAGGCCCTGCTCCCGTTGGAGGAACACAAGGAGATGTGAAGATTAAATGCAGATTGGGATCTAGACAGGTCCCGGACCAGGAAAAGGACATTCTTGGAAACCATAAAATTCAACTAAGATTGATCTACAGCACCCACAAAAACAACGGCCTCCACCCTACTTTGGTGAGTAGTGACTGAGATCTTAAAAGCTCATGGGTGGGGGGCTACAAACTGCCCAGACCCAAAATGGTGGGGGGACTATGATGGCACGGACAGGTGGAGTGGCTGGGGAT